TAACTCAAGTGATATATATATGTCCTTTTCAAATACATTCGTGGTTGACTTTCTTTTCTCTAATTTGCCAGTATAAATTATCTAGACTCCCACTTACGTAGAATTTTTGTGCATGCGCGCCATGAATTCGAATCTTCTAAGATCGCAGGAGGCGCGACGATCGACGAAAACCGCGCGAAATACAAACGAGTTTTCGCTCTCACATACGTACGTAATAGAATCTTGATCACTTAGCTGTTAATAATAGTAATTGAATTTAATTGACGATACTTTGACATTTCAGTGAAGTTAGCTCCGACTAGTTACGATCGATGCTTAATTAAACAACAGCAAATGAAAAGATTCGTTTCCACGTTTCTGGATCTCATCCGCAGAAGATTTGGCGAGAAATGAAAGGCAAACCAGTTGAGAAAAGAAAACAAACTACTCGAGTTTCATTCTTTTAAACACAGCTTACGATTCACATGATGATTCAAAAAGTATCTTGTTCTTTAATTCCAACATCAAAAGCATCGAATCTTTTATGGTTTTAGATAAAACTGTAAGAGAATAAAACTGTAAGATAATAAAGAGAAAACTGCAAGAAGATCAGTGTCCAATGTAGAGAATATTACATGCAACTTGCCAAACTCCGACTTAAAAATAGTGAAAAGTAGACAAATATTATTGTAGCTAAAATAAAATATTTTCGAATGCTGCATCACACAGTATTTCTGTGTCGAAAATTATATAATATGTTTTCCTTACTTCTGGTAAAAGTTTATCACATTCATACATCAAATTCTAATATCTAAAAATATTAATGTCAAATTTAATAAAGAAATTTCAACAAATTTTAAATATATATATATATATATATATATATATATATATATATAATGAAATTGTATTGTTTCTATCGATTTTTATATATATATTTTTATATATTATTTTTTATATTATTTATATATTATTTTTATATATTATTTTATATATTTTATATATTATTTTTATATATATATATATTTATGAAATATACAATATACTATTTTTTAAAGATTTAAAAAAGTTTTCAGGTAAAATCTTGTGACATCTAAATAAACGCTCGTGTTTATTTCTACATTACGAACTTTTCCTATTCTTTTATAGTCTCTGATACAAACTTCGTGCATTGATCGTCGGTGATCGCAGTGTTCCGTCAAAAATATACATTCACGTTCTTAACCGATCCAGAATCCATCGTTCGTTTCGACCTTCTCAGTTCAACAGTTCCACCGTCGAGTATTAAACAACGAATTTTATGACATGCCCGACGTAACGACCGGCTCGTTGCCCATAGTAAATTACACAATCCTCTCGACGGAGCAGACCGCCACGAACGAACAACGTCGAAGGCCAGTTTACCGAATGTTTCCAAGCCGGTGCTTTAGACGATAAATTAGAACACGACAATGAAACGATTTATCGTCGAACGGGCAACGTACGTGCCAGACACGCCATTAACTCCGATCGAAACTCCGTTTACGCCTTGCGTCTATAAATCTGTTCCATCGACCGAGACGACGTGACACACTGCTTCTTACAGATTCTTCTGTTGGCCGGTTAATCCATTTATTCGCTAATTGTTCGTTACAGCGACTGAACGTTTCAGCGTTTATACGACGAACGCCCGGGGAGGGAAGAAATCTTGTCCCAACCGTTATAGCGTTTCGCTCGTCCCGAAGAATCGGAGCGAGACAAACGCGCGCAATACGCGTTTGAAATGCACGCGCAAGGTAATCGCTGGTACAATGCTCGCCGTGGTTTCAATTACCGTACACGATAATAGTTCTGTTTGAATTTATCGAAAATATCGTGGCTTCGCGTTTTTAGTTTTAGTCGAAATTGCTTGGATCAGGCGACGCGAATGAAGATTAGAATTGTAATCCGAAAGCGTGGTGCTCGATGGTTCAACACTGGAATTATCGTAGATTGATATCTAGAGTTCGTTTGGAAAAAAGAAAAAAATTCATCCTCAAACGCATTTCGGAAATTTGTACACATTATCAATTCTGAGTCTATGAACTGAAAAATAACTGTCACTACCATTGTGGCCATTTTTATGGTCCTAATGTTAAACTACAAAGGATGGAAAAAAGAAGCTTGTAATACAACGAGGAATTTACTTTCACATTTCACGAAATGTCTCTGATCTCTAGAAATGTAGAATAGAAACTTTCAATGAAAAATTACGAGCTGGCCATTTCGACTACTTTTGTAGTTCTGATGTTAAAAATTAAGCGAAAGAAGGACGAAGATGGCGAAATAGAAAACGCAGAAGCGTAAATTGACAATCAATTAGCGGATAGTAGCGAAGGAAACGATCGAGCTAACAGTAACCTCCACTTAAACCGACACTGGAAGCGCGAGTTGTGGGTCATATGCAGCCGTGCGAGCGTGTAATTCAGACATTACGGCAAGCAAGAATCATATACAGCGTACAATGAGTTCGGTGTCACATTACGAGGTGAGAGAGACACGCGAAAACGTATGTCGCTGATCTTTTGCAATCGTAATGCGAGGGAAACCGCTCTTGCTCTCCGTCCAGAAAGTTGTTTCGTTAAAGAAAATATACACTACCAGACAAGAATTGGTAAAAGTATGAATGAAAAGTTAATATTGCAATATTTCCTTTGTTTTCTGATACGTCTTTGAGTTGCTAAGAAATTGTTGA